CAGATCCTTGGTCAGAGGAACGTTAACCAAATTTAGGTAGTTTTAAGACTGAATATATATAGGTGTTCCTTAATGTTTTCCTATTACATGACCACCAAATTTAGGTAGTTTTAAGACTGAATATATTTATAGGTGTTCCTTAATGTTTTCTTATTACATGACTCTCAAGCCATGTACCCATCTAGTAATGTGGTGTGCCACACCACAGCTCCCTTGGGAGAGTGACGGGTCACTCTCATGTAACCCCGTTACATTTACGTACACCACAATACGCTATTTATCCCGTACAATCTTTCTCACCAAAATGCGTACCACACTGGGATCGCACTGATTTTATTGTATATTCAGCCGTTCCGTTTGAGTACATAATCTAAGGCAGCTCTTTCGAGCACAATTCGCGTCGAGAGTCATCTCCCTTACGTACTCGCATGACTCAACGATCCACTTTAAAAGGCGAGGTCCTCGTGGCCGACGATCTTCGAGGTATACTTCATAAAGGTAGCTGAAGTTTATCAAAAAAACGGTCACAGTGACGTCCCCAGTCAGCCCTGTATCTTTTCTCTCATCGAGGAGCATACAACAGAGCCATTCCCTGTCCGCGTGGACCTTAACGAGGTTGAAGCGCTCTTTATGCTCCTCCTCCCTTCAAAATAAGCTGTGAACTTTTGTTTATTCCATTTGGCTGAGAGTGTTAATCTGTATCTCACGACGACAGCCAGCTCATTTCTAATGAGCTGGTCTTGGATCAAATTGCGAGGGTTCCCGTTTGAAAGTCTGCAATGCGTAAGGTTTTTGTGAGACTTATTAGCAAGGCAACAGCTTTGAGCTTCCCAAGCTTGAGACTGTATCATCTGATAGGCTTTTAGTACTAAGTAGTATATACTCCCCAACAATAAAAACATTTTGCCTGACGCCCTCATCTTTCTGCGTATTCCTTTTGCAGATCTTGCGCACCCGTCATTGCGTCTCGCATTCATGTGATTATATTCACACAACTCATGGTATATGAGTCCAGGGCGTCCATATACTTGCGCTTTACATTTGAATCATTGATTGTATCAATTTGGGAGGCAACGATTTGCCGCCCCCCCCCAAAAGATCAGAGACACCACCCATTCCATAATGCGGTACTATCGGGCGTTACAAGCCATTATAAAAAATAACGTTGATTCAGAGGAAAGATGAGCCGAATAGTTGATAGCAAACTCTACCAATGGTAACAACATACTCCGTTCCGATAAATTTCCGAACATAATTTCTCGACCCATCACCGACCGCTGGGTTGGCTGCTCTGGTTGCCCGTCGGTCTCGGGGTGTACAGA